GGACATTCGCAACGTATACGGAGAAGGTGTCATAGGCGAGTCTACAGCACGGAAATGGTTTGCGGAGTTCAAAAATGGCGATTTTGACGTCGACGACAGGCCCCGCAGCGGAAGACCTTCTGAATACGAATTTAACCCAGGCTCCCAATTTTTCGGCAAATCCCATTGAATGAAGATGATTGAGAATCGTTTTATGATCGCAGTTCATTTTTTCGGCCAATTCACGACTTGTTCGGTGACCGTCCTCCTTCAAAAGTGCTTTGAGACGCTCTTCGTCGAATTCGGAAGGTCTTCCGCTGCGGGACGTCGACGTCAAAATCGTCATTTTTGAACTTCGCAAACCATTTCCGTGCTGTAGACTCGCCTATGATTCTCCGTATACGTTGCAAATGTTCCGGGCTGCTTCAGAAATGGCCTCGATGAAAAGCGAAGAAGAGAAGGTGTCGAAAATATTGCTTTTTACCTCCTGAATATTCCATTTCTAAGCTTCAAAAGTAATAAAAAATTAAATTACTCAAAAAGACGATTAGCACAGTTTTGTAGAGCGGAAACAGCCCTATCGAATGAATATTATACACTTTGTCAAACAGCAAAAGATCGTTGTAAAATAAAAGCAAATATAAAAACGCTACGAACTTATTCCCCAACCCAATAAAAAAAAACAACAACTGAAGAATAAAATGGTACCGCTAATATCGCCGGTATCGCCGAAAAGATGAGGGCTCGACGAACAGGAATTGTGCAGCCGTAATGTAACGAGGAATCAACGAACGGTATGCGATATACGGTGGAAACATCATTCGTACATGGAACAACGTGAACCAGCGTAAAAAGTAAGCGCAGAATGGAAATAAAGAGAAAAGATTCGCAAGCCATATACAGGAGCGACATACATAGGTCCAGAAGTGACATGGACTTACAGGTGTGTTAGGTTCGACAAGCAAATCCTAAAAAGCAATTTTCTAAGTGCTACTCGATTACTGCGATGCCTTGTTCGTTGGACGTGCCTTCGACAGAAATTGCGAATTGCATCTCGCTCTGCAAAAGAGTCGTTGGATCGACTGCCCCCCTTCGATCGGATTTTCTCGAGCTGTATCACGCATTTAGCTGCACGGTGTGTTTCGACGTTCGACGAAACGCGCGATTCAAATTTTCATCGAAGTATTTTTGCGAACGTTACGAGTCTCGGGACGAGTCTCCATCATAGATCGATAGATCCCTAGGTCATCCGAAGGGAATCTCGGACGAATCTAGCTCGAATCTAGCTCGAATCTAGCTCGAATCTAGCTCGAATCTAGCTCGGATCCGCGCTCGTACGAGGCGAATCTGATTTGAAACAGGACAGCGAGGACAAGCGAACGAACAATTTCTGAAAGTACAAGGGAAATGATTGCCCCCGCCTGTAAGTTCATGCGACAACACGTTTAATGTGCGTTCGGTGTTGTGATTGTTGCTATGGGCGGGGAGGCTACGCTCTAGCGAGATAAGATTGAAAATACTGCGATCGAGATTCTCGGGAAACGAGAGATTTACATGTTTTGTTACATGGTTCTCAGAGGGTTCCCGCGCAGCGTCTTCTTCCTCCAGACCGACGGACTGCGAAAACAACATTAGGACACACCGTCAGTCAGGCATCTCCCGTGTCTCTTCTACGGATTTCTATCGATTATTTTCACGTGGTCGAGCGTGGTCGCAACATGATACGCCATGTACGCCTTATGCACCATGTATCTATCGAGGCGCGATGCAAACGTTAATCACTATGTTACACCGTGCTACTCAGACTCGGACTCGACGATGCACGCGCGGTGTATATTCGCGAACATTTGGAATCGATGCGATCATCGGATACCCGAACACGGGTACAGTAAATTCTCTCTGATCGACGCTCAGCTTGTACACGAAAATGGACGATTTCGAAAGTGGAGATACGATTAACACGTTCGTCGCCCAGCGCAATTCGGTTGAGTTTCTCGCGGGGCCCAAATCCGACTGATGGAGCACCGAAACATAAACAGAGCGATACATTTTTTAAATAAATAATTTTAAATAAATTTAACCTTGACATCATCTGAACGTCAAGAAGCGAAAGAAAATGTAGAAAAAATTACGACCTATTGTTCGAATTGTCCAAAATCACCTCAAATGTGTTTAGAATGTTTCAACGCGCACCATACGACATAGTACAATGTAATGTGTTATACTAAATATAAATTAGTAAAAAGTATAGTATAATATGTACATAGTATAATATTTTTAGTATTTTTAAGTTGGATATCCTATATTTATATTTCAGTGCTTATTCTATTTTATTCCTTTTAAAATCCAACTGAAAGTCTTATAAATTGAATAAGAAGAGCGTCACCCATATTTGGGTGACGGGGTCCCCACGGAAGTATACCCAGATCTGGGTGACGACGCGGCGACGAACGTGTTAATTCGAGTCTCGCGGTTCATTTTTATAGTTGCCGATCGTCAACAATTATGAAAACAAGGTGCAAAGGCTCGAATAATCGTATCTTCTCTTCCCAAAATGTCAATTTTTGTTTACAAACTGACGGAAAAATTGGGGAGAATTTACTGTGCAAGCTGAGCGTCGATAAGCCAGAATTTACTGTAGAAACATATCGTTAGCAGACAAACCAGTTGAATTAATTAAGAAATTTCAAACGTTCGACAAAGGAGTTAGCTACTGATTGCCGAAAGAAAAGCTACACACATGCGCGTTAGACGTTGTCGTTACCGAACAGAGAAACATCCGATACTCTGATAGAAAAAGCAAGTGGTTGAAAACAGTTCTGATATCGGTTTCGGTTATCGAAACAGTTACGGAGAATCGAAAAAGTCTCACAATCGTCGTAAAGTACATACAGTAAAAGTTCTCCGTGATTTTCCTTCAGCTTGCGAACAAAAATGGACGATTTGGGAAGATGAGATACGATTATTCGAACCTTGCACCTTGTTTTTATAATTGTTAACCCATTGCGCTCGAGTGGTGACCCCGAGGCACCGCTAAAAAATGTTTATATCACATTCCAAAATAATTCTTACATCAAGAAAATTTAGATTTGAAAAACTGTTAAAAGTATAAACAAAGTATAAACACTGTTGTATAAGTCACGAGACTCAATTTTACACGCATAAAATGCGCTCTGTCGTATAAAACAGAGACATCGTAGGTCAGAAAAATCATTTTAGATTCACAGTTAAAATGGCGTTCGAGTGTAACGGGTTAACAATCGACAACTATAAAAACGAGCCGCGAGGCTTGAATAATCGTATCTCCTCTTCCCAAATTGTCCATTTTTCTTTGCAAGCTAGAGGAAAATTGGGGAGTATTTACTGTATATCCGTTTCGGTTCTTCAGAACCAATGTCATACCGGATTTTGTAACTGTTATTTTCCTGTTCCGTTTAATAGACAAAAAGGTCCAGTGGCGCAACTGTTTGGTAATTCAAAGAATTACAAATATGTGGTCATTTTGTTGTCCACAAAAATTGGACAATTTAGGAAGAGAAGATACGATTATTCGATCCTTGCGGTTCATTTTAATAGTTACGAATTGTCAATAACTATAAAAATGAACTGCGAGACTCGAATAACCGTATCTCCTCTTCCCAAATTGTCCATTTTTGTGGACAATCTGATCGTCAGTTAGGGAGACTTGGTAGAATTCATACTTTTAACACTAGATCTATCAAATCCCAAGAAAGTAAGGAAACGCGTATTGCTTTGTAACGATGTGAAAAGACCATTTTATTATAATATAAGCTTGGATTAAGAAATCTATTGAATCATTTTGTACAAAAAAGTCTTTATAATTTCAGCAACTTTTAAACAATGATTGTGAAACCGGTCATATGGCCGGTTTTTGACCAGCGTTAATACATAAACATTTAATGTAAATACATAAAGGAAATGCAACGTATTTATTACGTAAAATAGAACTATAAGCGAAAAATAACAGTTACACATACAAGGTGTCCCAAAAATGTCTCGTAATCCGAAAGTAGGGTATTCCTGAGGTCATTTGAAGCAACTTTTTCCTTTGCGAAAATTTACTCCGACGCTTCGTTTACGAGTTATCAACGAAAAACACTGACCAATCAGAGGCGAGATCATTTGGCGCGAGACGGCCGAGTCAATGAGCGGAACTGGGCTCCGCGCACTCGTTGGCTGGGCCGCCGCGCGCCAGCCGAGCTCGCCTCTTATTGGTCAGTGTTTTTCGTTGATAACTCGTAAACGAAGCCTCGGAGAAAATTCTGTCTCTTATACACATCTAGATGTGTATAAGAGACAGGGCGTAGAACTAGTACAGAGAAATTCGCAGCAACCCGAAATACGACATTCCTGACATAGCAATAAATTACATAGGCGTAAGACCTGTCTCTTATACACATCTAGATGTGTATAAGAGACAGGGCGTAGAACTAGTACAGAGAAATTCGCAGCAACCCGAAATACGACATTCCTGACATAGCAATAAATTACATAGGCGTAAGACCTGTCTCTTATACACATCTAGATGTGTATAAGAGACAGGGCGTAGAACTAGTACAGAGAAATTCGCAGCAACCCGAAATACGACATTCCTGACATAGCAATAAATTACATAGGCGTAAGACCTGTCTCTTATACACATCTAGATGTGTATAAGAGACAGGGCGTAGAACTAGTACAGAGAAATTCGCAGCAACCCGAAATACGACATTCCTGACATAGCAATAAATTACATAGGCGTAAGACCTGTCTCTTATACACATCTAGATGTGTATAAGAGACAGGGCGTAGAACTAGTACAGAGAAATTCGCAGCAACCCGAAATACGACATTCCTGACATAGCAATAAATTACATAGGCGTAAGACCTGTCTCTTATACACATCTAGATGTGTATAAGAGACAGGGCGTAGAACTAGTACAGAGAAATTCGCAGCAACCCGAAATACGACATTCCTGACATAGCAATAAATTACATAGGCGTAAGACCTGTCTCTTATACACATCTAGATGTGTATAAGAGACAGGGCGTAGAACTAGTACAGAGAAATTCGCAGCAACCCGAAATACGACATTCCTGACATAGCAATAAATTACATAGGCGTAAGACCTGTCTCTTATACACATCTAGATGTGTATAAGAGACAGGGCGTAGAACTAGTACAGAGAAATTCGCAGCAACCCGAAATACGACATTCCTGACATAGCAATAAATTACATAGGCGTAAGACCTGTCTCTTATACACATCTAGATGTGTATAAGAGACAGGGCGTAGAACTAGTACAGAGAAATTCGCAGCAACCCGAAATACGACATTCCTGACATAGCAATAAATTACATAGGCGTAAGACCTGTCTCTTATACACATCTAGATGTGTATAAGAGACAGGGCGTAGAACTAGTACAGAGAAATTCGCAGCAACCCGAAATACGACATTCCTGACATAGCAATAAATTACATAGGCGTAAGACCTGTCTCTTATACACATCTAGATGTGTATAAGAGACAGGGCGTAGAACTAGTACAGAGAAATTCGCAGCAACCCGAAATACGACATTCCTGACATAGCAATAAATTACATAGGCGTAAGACCTGTCTCTTATACACATCTAGATGTGTATAAGAGACAGGGCGTAGAACTAGTACAGAGAAATTCGCAGCAACCCGAAATACGACATTCCTGACATAGCAATAAATTACATAGGCGTAAGACCTGTCTCTTATACACATCTAGATGTGTATAAGAGACAGGGCGTAGAACTAGTACAGAGAAATTCGCAGCAACCCGAAATACGACATTCCTGACATAGCAATAAATTACATAGGCGTAAGACCTGTCTCTTATACACATCTAGATGTGTATAAGAGACAGGGCGTAGAACTAGTACAGAGAAATTCGCAGCAACCCGAAATACGACATTCCTGACATAGCAATAAATTACATAGGCGTAAGACCTGTCTCTTATACACATCTAGATGTGTATAAGAGACAGGGCGTAGAACTAGTACAGAGAAATTCGCAGCAACCCGAAATACGACATTCCTGACATAGCAATAAATTACATAGGCGTAAGACCTGTCTCTTATACACATCTAGATGTGTATAAGAGACAGGGCGTAGAACTAGTACAGAGAAATTCGCAGCAACCCGAAATACGACATTCCTGACATAGCAATAAATTACATAGGCGTAAGACCTGTCTCTTATACACATCTAGATGTGTATAAGAGACAGGGCGTAGAACTAGTACAGAGAAATTCGCAGCAACCCGAAATACGACATTCCTGACATAGCAATAAATTACATAGGCGTAAGACCTGTCTCTTATACACATCTAGATGTGTATAAGAGACAGGTCTTACGCCTATGTAATTTATTGCTATGTCAGGAATGTCGTATTTCGGGTTGCTGCGAATTTCTCTGTACTAGTTCTACGCCTATGTAATTTATTGCAGTGTCGGAAATGCCGTATTTCGGGTTGCTGTGAATTTCTTTGTGCTAGTCCTACGCCTATGTAATTTATTTCTATGTCGGAAATGCCGTATTTCGAGTTGCTGTGAATTTCTCTGTGCTAGTCATACGCTTATGTAATTTATTGCTATGTCGGAAATGCCGTGTTTCGGATTGCTGTGAATTTCTTTGTACTAGTCTTACGCCTATGTAATTTATTGCTATGTCAGGAATGTCGTATTTCGGGTTGCTGTGAATTTCTTTGTACTAGTCCTACGCCTATGTAATTTATTGCTATGTCGGTTATGCCGGGAATGCCATATTTCGGGTTGCTGTGAATTTCTCTGTGCTAGTCCTACGCCTATGTAATTTATTGCTATGTCGAGGTCGTCGGTTAAGGTTATGTTTGTAAAATGATCTGTTTGGGAGTGAGTCAAGCAAGAACAAGCGCGTATCACGTGGCCTGCGAATTGCCTTTGAATAGTGGCATGTGCCCTCTGAATTGCCCTTGAATCGTGGCAAAAAATTAGAATTAAAAGAATTAGTAATAAGAAAGTTAAGTTATCGTTTTTATCCTAGCCTTATTATTATGTATTCATGTTAATGTATACCCTCATGTTGGTCGTTGCCTTCTTCAGCCGACTGTCCCGAGTTTCTATAAAAACGTGTCTGAGCGCGACTTAGTATTCTCAGATCTGCGTGTTTCGATTCCGACTCCAAACATTTCTGGGAGAAATTACTGTGATCCTTGTCTATGAACCCGAATCGTTCGAAATAATTAAACTTTTATGATTTACGCTTACGATTAACACTTTGCACTCGAAGCCATTTCAACTGCGAATCTAAAATTAATTTTTCTGACTAATTGTATTTCTATTTTATATGACAAAGTGTTAACGTCGAAAATCGTTGACATTCTAAGGAGCGTCTACGAAGAACATACTAATGCGAACAGACGTTACAATGAAAATAGCAAGATGTCTAAATGAATTCAATCTCGTAACTTGTATACAGGTTGTCCCGAAAATGTCTCACAATCCGGAAATCGGAGGTTTCCGAGATCATTTGAAGCAACTTTTTCCTTTGCGAAAATGTTCTCCGAGGCTTCGTTTACGAGTTATCAACGAAAAACGCTGACCAATAAGAGACGAGCTCGGCTGGCGCGCGGCGGACCAGCCAACGAGCGCGCGGAGCTCAGTTCCGCTCATTGGCTCGGCCGTCTCGCGCCAAATGATCTCGCCTCTGATTGGTCACTGTTTTTCGTTAATAACTCGTAAACGAAGCCGCGGATCGCATTTTCGCTAAGGAAAAAGTTGCTTCAAATCACCTCAGGAATCCCCTACTTTCGGATTGAGAGACATTTTTTGGGACAGCCTGTAGAGCAACGCGTGTCGGGCATCTCTGGTGTCCGGTAGGTTTAGCGTTAACTCTTTGCGCTCCGCAGAGCCGGTAGACGGTGTCTTGACTCGTTATGTCAGCCAGTCTTGACGAATTGGAGCGCAAAGGAATAATAAAAGCACTGGTGCGGTCCCGCGACGCTCGCGGATACACGTTGCACGATGTTCCTTTGCCAGCGACGAAGCGAAAAGCTATAAACAATAGCATACTCGTTGACACGAGGCACGCCGGACCGAGTGCCAGGACTGTTTTTGCGCATGACCCTGGCAGTCTGTCCGACCGTGGTCTTGCCATAGACGAAGATCAGGCTCTGATCCGTCGGACGGCCCGGGTCTTTGTCCAACCAAAGTCGAGACGGCGGACAGTCGAACCCGGACGAGCCACTTTTGCTCCTCGCTCGTTCGACGGTCAAACAAAAATTCAGTCATTTCACTCTCTCTGTTCATTCCGTAGAGTTTCTGAACGTGAGATGAACGTGTGTATCGTGCGAAGAGACGTTTTCCTCGATGTTGCATCGAGCTTGTATCTGTTCAATGTGCGCCGGGGTGTACGAGGAGAGGTGTGCAAGGTGTTTTGCGCTCTGTCGTGTGCTCGCGGCGTAAGCCGCGCGCTTGCGGAAGAAATTGTCGAACATTTTTTGGAACGCTTTTCTCGGTGGTCGACGAGGATTCGCGATTCGTCGAAGCATCGTCGGGCAACGCGTACGCGGAACGTTTCTTCCGAAAGGGCACGACTTACGCTGTTAAACGCGCTCGGACAAGTGGAAGCGGGCGTTGTCGGGCTGTGGAGGGTCCCAATTTCTGATCAGTCCCGAGCGTTGGTTTACCAGAAATGGAAAGAGATACTTTTTCAGCAGTCCGATGCGCCCGATGTCCATGTTGTAGCGGTCGGGCCGGCCATCGTAATGCGGGAACATTGTCGGAGATACGATAGTTTACGGAGAAAGGGTCGCATTCGTGCGCGCGAGTCGGAACCACCCGCGGGAGACCGAGCCGCGTCGAGACTAATTAGAAGAGCGCAAAGCCGGTGGCCTCGTCCATCAGACTGCCTGGTAGGCTCAGGCAGAGACAACGCGAATCTCTGGCCGAAGGCCATGACATTAGACAGCAATTGCAAACTGTTTCGCGTCCCTACCGCTAAACATCGTTGCAATTATCTAATACCCGTCCCGGCGCGGCCGTTCTCGAAATCGAACAGGCAACGTCGACTTTTTCCGTCGGTCTCGCTGATCGCGGCGAGCATGCGAGGACACCCGTTGCACTACGGGGAGCACCCACGGCGGACTTCCCCCGCCTACGGGGAGTCCTATGCGTCAGCTTGGGGCGTCGTACAGAGAACGAGAGCAAAATCGCCGGGCGAATTAGTCATTGGTTAAATATATTAAAAATTAAATATATATTATATATCATATATATTATATTAAATTATATATATTATACTATATTATATATAATATTATGTTATATTATATTATATTATATTTAATATTATGTTATATTATATTATACTATATTTTATATATAATATTATATTATATATATTATACTATAATATTATGTATAATATTGTATAATATTATATTATACATAATGTTATATTATATTATATTATATATTATATATATATATATATATATATTATATTATATATATTTCAATATATTTTGCGCAGATTGCGCACAAAAGTGCACAATTTGGGAAGATGATATCCGATTATTCGAGCCTCGCGTCTCCTTTTTATTGACAATCGGTAACTATAAAAACGAGCCGCGAGACTCGAATAATCGTTATCGCCTCTTCCCAAATTTTCCATTTCTGTGGGCAATCTGAGCGCGCGAATTAGAGAGACATTACTGTGCATTCATTCATCAAATACGTACATTCATAGATCAATCGTGAAAACATTGCTCCGAAACCGTTTCTGTCGTTAGGAGCAGGATATAATAAACTAACAAAGCCGCAAAGTTTGTTCGGGCAAACCGTCGCGGCTCGAAATCCGAATCATGATCCGTTGTGTACAGAAATGTGAGTCGGGAATTAGAAATGTTGCAATTTCTATTCCTCTCTATCGAGCGCATTAATTTATTATATTATATATAATATATTATAAATATATATTTATATATATATATTTATTATATATATTTATTTATATTATATATATATTTATATATATATTTATTATATATATTTATTTATATTATATATATATATATATATATTATAAATAATATATTATATTTGTAATAATTTTACGAACCCGATCGAGAAATGAAAATATACTAAAATCGTGAAAACAAAGAAATTCGTTGCATAATAATTCGACATTACTTTTCGAGCTTCCTTGCGATTCTCAAAGAGATACAAAAATACAAGCGTTTTCAACCGACAATCCTGCACACGGAGCTATTTTGTAGTTTTGCAATGCAAAGAATCGTAGAACGTGGTCACTCTCGGGCGAACCGACAACATCGAACACGGACGTAGTTGCAAACCGAACTGTGTTGGTCGCCACCAGACATTGTTACCACAGTTTTAATAAGCGTGACGTAAAGCTGCAAAACTATTTATAAACGGGCTCTGTTTTTCGAGCTCGGTTAGGTGACTCGTAAATCGTCTTGTGAACGGCGAACCTTTAAAACGGCGTAACCGAGCGTAACACCATTGTTCGGGTATATATGCAGAGCTACCTGCGTTTTCGTTGTTGGCTTCGCGACCATTATAGTGGGTGACAGTCGGCTGGCATAACTTGGGCGAGGAAGCGTTCTCCGTCTAACGTAGGGATCGTTTAATCGTGCCAAAACACTCAAACCTGGAAGTCGTAAAGACTTCAACCCTTTCGAAGCGAATTGGTCCGCGGTTTCTCTGAAATGCTGTCGCATGATTGCAATAATTATCTTCGAGAAAGAGAATCGGTTAAGAGATTGATATGATTTTCCCTTCGAATTTTTCCCGCTCGATGCAAGTACAGTAATTTCTCCCTAATTCGCGCTCAGATTGCGCGATAAAAATGGATCGCCGTAAAAATGGACAATTTGGGAAGAGGAGATACGATTTATTTTATATATATTGCGTCTTGTTTATACAAAGTTTCCCAAAAATGTCTCGCAAACCGGAAATGAGAAGTTCCTGGGATCATCTGAAGTAACTTTTTCCTTAGCGAAAATGCAACCCGTGGCTTCGTTTACGAATTATTAACGAAAAACACTGACCAATGAGAGGCGAGCTCGCCTAGCGCTTGGCGGCCGAGCCTATGAGCGCACGAAGCCCAGTTCCGCAAAAAGATTTAGTACCACTACCATAACTGTCGCTCGGCAGACAGTTATCAAAAGTATCCTATACAGTAATTTCTCCCAGAAATGTTCGGAGGTCGGAATTGAAACGGCAGATCTGAGAATACTAAGTCGCGATCCTTCGGGCTTCGCTGCTCGTTTTTACAGAAACTCGGGACAGTTGGCAAAAAAGAAAAGGCAGCGGTCAGCATGCCGGTGACATTAACACTTTCACAACCGCTGACACCACTGTGGTGTTATGGGCAGGCCAGTCGTTGTATGCCGGTGACACTCATGTGGTGTCATTGGTAGACCAGTCGTTATTTGCCGGTGACACTCACGTGGTACCATTGATAGGCCAGTCGCTATTTGCCGGTGACTCCCACGTGGTACCAGTGGCAAGCCATTTGCAAAACTTTTCTTAATAACATGCGGTTGTGAAAGTGTTAATATGAACACATGGTAACGCTAGAATAAAAACGATGACTTAACTTTTCATTTCTAATTTTTTGCCACGTTTCGACGGTCACGTATCTTGTAGCTCCGCGGTCTTTCTTACCTGACTCACACCCAAACAAACCATTTCGTGTTGTCCTCTGGGAATTCGCGTCGCGTGCCACATCACACGCTCAATCGACTCCGTCGACCCTTAGCATCGACGTAGCAACAAATTACATAGGCGTAGCACTAGCACAGGGAAATTCGCGGCGACTCGAAATTTGGCATTTCCGGGAGAAATTGCTGTAGTACCGCTACGATAACTGTCGCTCGGCAGTCAGTTCATCGAAATACATACATGGGCGTAGAACTAGCACGAGGAAATTCACGGCGACCCGAAATTTGGCATTTCCGGGAGAAATTACTGTAGTACCGCTACGATAACTGTCGCTCGGCGGACAATTCATCGGAATACATACATAGGCGTAGAACCAGCACAGGGAAATTCACGGCGAACCTGGAATTTGGCATTTCTGAGAGAAATTGCTGTAGTACCGCTACGATAACTGTCGCTCGGCAGACAGTTCATTGAAATACATACATAGGCGTAGAACCAGCACAGGGAAATTCACGGCGACCCGAAATTTGGCATTTCCGAGAGAAATTGCTGCAGTACCGCTACGATAACTGTTGCTCGGCAGACAATTCATCGAAATACATAATCCTGTACTTACTTGTGCTCGTGTTTCTGGTGCCTCCGACATTTCCGGTCCTCGTCAGGCACCACGGGTGCACCTCCGGCCGTCGTGTCATCCTGCATCGACGCGGGGACGTCCTCCTCCTTGATATTCTCGAACTGTACCCGCGGGCTGCCGACCGGTGGGCTACCGTCGCTGAAACCGGAAGCAGCCCTCTCGGAGATCGGCGCCTCGCTCTCGCTGCTGAGAATGTTTTCCGTCTCCTCGGCGGTCTCCTCGTCGACGTCGGGCACGCTGCTAGACGACAGCCCGTTGTCCGTCGGGTCTCCATCCGTTTCTCCTTGTCCGCTGCCATTGCCAACCTGTACCTGACCGTTGTCCTCTTCTTGGCCGACTTCCGCTGTGGATCCTTCGCTGTAAAACACGCGCATTTCCTTTTTCTCTCTCTCTCTTCGTTTGCTCTTCTTTTCTTTAACTTTCTTTCTTATTTTACTTTATGCTCGACCTTCCCTTTTCCTCTCTCTCTCTCTCTCTCTCTCTCTCGTTTTTACTTTTCATTTCTTTCCCATTGATCCGTTTGATTCTACAATTGTCTAAACCCACTCTCGCACGAGGAAGCAACGACCGTCCGCTCGTTTTAAGAAAATATTAGAGTGTCACATAAGTTCTTTCCTTTTTTCGGATGCGAAATGATCACGCGATATTTGTTGTTTAAGGTTGATTTATCGAGTTATATACGAACCGTTCTGCTCTATTACCTTCTTCCATCTTTCAGGAAGCCTCATTATGCCGTATTTCCAAGATCGTTGAGGCTTATTTGCAAAATATTGATCAAGGTGCGTTTTTATTTCGCTTACGAATTTAAACCGTTTTTCACGGGGAGAATGTTTTTAACGAGAAGAACAGAGAATTTTTTACGAGAAAAAGTAATAATCGGATGGAGCAATGTCTGGAGAATACGGAGGACGAGGTAAAACGTCCCAAGCAAACTGCAATAATTTTTGTTTTACGACCAACGCAACATGCGGTTTTGCGTTGTCGTGATGAAAATTTGACGGTGTGGAACTTCGAAGCGATTCACATATTCCACCTTGATTAACCCCTTAATGCACAATTAAAAAAAAAAAAACCGACCAAAAAAAATCAATTTTTTTTATCTAAGAAAATACATATTTGGACCTTAATTTCAATAAATATTTAAAAAAAATGCAAAAATTACTAAAAATTCAATAAAAATAGTGGATAAATAATTATAGTGAATATTGAATCGCATTGCAGATCGAATTTTGTACCCATCGTACTGTTTTTCATATATTCGAATCTGAACATTTTAGCGACATAAGTTGCGACGCCGACCGTATATATACGGGTCGGCACATTTTGGCCGGTTTTGCACGCCCGTGTTAATACGTTTCTGCGCGTTAAGGGGTTAAATGCTTATGTACCGTTGTTCCGGGTATGTTAGTGGCATCTGCTATCTCGCGCACGCAATATCGCGAATTTTCAGCGAGCATATCTTTGATAAGGTCCGCGTCCGTCGTTGTTGGACGGCCGCTGCGGTACTCATCTTTCAAATCATAATTGCCAGCTCTAAATCTCTTAAACCAATCGCGGACTGTCCTAATAGTCGTAGAACCATCACCGTAAACGGTACAAATCTCGTTTGCAGTGTTCTTTGCCCTATCACTTTTTTGTTAAAGCAACGAAGCATAACATGCCGCAAATGCTTCTTTTGGCTATCCATATTGAACGACGTTGAAAAATTTTTATAAGGAGAACTTTGTCACCCACGAAACGTACTCTAAAAGAGCTCTGGGACGACTGAGACCGATACCCTAAACGGCCAAGAGATNCTCCTGTTTCCCTTTTACGAATCGACGCTGTTTTGCGCCGCGCGCCGTGCTCTTGGATGACTTACGGTGAAAGGTGCCGTCGCATGGATCTCGAATGGAGGCTTTTCAGGGGTATGTACGGATGCGGGTAACTTCTTTTTCGGTGTTCTGTAAAGAGAAAACGCGAGATACGATAATATCGTTTCACAGAACGTCGAGGTCAGAAGCCGTTGCATTTTGGTAAATGCAACGGAGTCTAACGAAATTCCATCGCGGTGCAGTTCTTCGAAATAAGTAAATAAATAAAGAATTAAATACAATAAATAAGTACGATTCTATTCTTAGCCTACCAGGCACACGTCTACGCTCGAACACAGAAAATCCATTGCGAATTTACATCTTTCATTCGAAACCGTAATTATCGTAATTGATTGCTCGATGAATGTTAGAACTGTTTAACCCTTTGCACTCCGTTGTCGCCTCTCTGGGGACATCGTAATTCCAGCGTATCACTCGGATGTCCCCTCTGAGGGGACATTAAATTGCCAAATTAATAACCATTAATATAATTTATTATATTGAAACGCTTTAAAATATTTATCACGCCGTAAAAAATTATAAGGAATAAAATGTTGATTTTTTTGCAAATATATGAGCCGTTTATTTTGAAAGTGGCATAAGTCACATTTTTTTTTTTTAATGAAAAGGTACCGTTCAATTGTAATTAGTGTTACCATTAATTCGATTTTTTTGAAAAAGTGACTTATGCCACTTTCGAAATAAACGACTTATACGTTCCTCGACGTCTACAAATTCGTATAAATCGAATATCACAATAATATCTTAATTTGGCTTCAAAGGTATACTATATGTATGATACAAAGGTTCGTAGCTGGGAGATAACGTTCGGGATGGCGCGGAGTACAAAGGGTTAAATTGAAAGTACCATCTAAGTCATCGCGCGATATTGAACTTTTTCGTACTGACAGAATCAGAATCTCACTAGGATATCAAAATTGTGAAACTAGAATGGCTAGAACTGCGAACGAACTAAGCGCCCACTTTAGATATCTCCAATATTCCTTTGCTATCTGTCTAAACCGTATTTGAAAAGGGTTTACGAAGCACGTAAAATAAAGAATAATAATAAACAATTGGTGCACAATTAAACAAGGAAGATACGTACGATTGAAGTCGTGATCGTTATACCGCGGTGGCGGTCCTCGGTCGCGATCTCGATCTCGATCGGATCCAGCCGATTCGGAAGGCGATCCGAACCGAGCTACGTCGAACTTCTCCCCGGCGTCCATCGCGAAAACCTTCTCCATCTCCTCGTCGAGTTCCGGTCCCGTTTCCGCGCCATGACCATCGACCTATTAGAAAGTAACGTTAAAATTTTCAAAATTGCGATCGAGTCCACGAAATTTCGTTTCATTTCATTTATTTATACAGGATGTCCCAAAAATGTCTCGCAATCCGGAAGTAGGAGATTCCTGAGGNCTTTGTCACCCACGAAACGTACTCTAAAAGAGCTCTGGGACGACTGAGACCGATACCCTAAACGGCCAAGAGATAAGCCTGCGTGTTTATATAAACACAGCTAGGTAGAGTCATTCATAGCGCGACGCGGAAAGAACTTATGGAGCACCCTAATATCATATCGCATTCCGGATCGGGTTCCGATCTTATCCCAATCGTTGCTCCCGTGTACACCACACACAGAACCGTTTCATTTAACCCTTAAATGCATAGAGTCCCAAAAATGAATCAATAACTTTTTGCGCGGATACCCGACAACAGTTTTGATATCGATACATTTGGCTGAATGACAGTGATTCCTTTGTCCATTGACTTATCAAAAATTAACTAAAATAATGACATTTGACTTCAATATTTGTATCTTTCTGACGTTATACCAATTGGCGCGCATTTTTGATAGCGGGTTCATTTACGTACTTTTGGAAGTGGATTATTTAGAAATATTTTGGTGTATTCGTTAAACAAACAACATTTTCTAAAGGTAAGGCTCTTATTTATTAATTTGCTAGTACTTTTGTCTATATTCCGTAACTATCATGTGTATGGAGGGCTTATTTCGTGTTGATGCAAAAATGGGACAACATGCACTAATGGTAATAATTACGACATGTATTTAGTACTATGCTTCCTTTATTGGTTTGTTGGTTTTGTTTTGGTGTGGTATGCATGTGGTTTATAATTTTGTTATAGATATGTCATACTAACTAAAGAATTTTTATGTCTATTTTGCATAGTGTACCAAAAATGAATCATTAATATTTTTCAATAAAAACCCTATAAGATATGACTTATAATTTTTTTTAATATTTTTCCCGATTTCCACTCATTTGAAATATTATAACCCTATTTTTTAAATAAAATTCATTAATTCATGCATTTAAGGGTTAAATCTCTCCTGTTTCCCTTTTACGAATCGACGCTGTTTTGCGCCGCGCGCCGTGCTCTTGGATGACTTACGGTGAAAGGTGCCGTCGCATGGATCTCGAATGGAGGCTTTTCAGGGGTATGTACGGATGCGGGTAACTTCTTTTTCGGTGTTCTGTAAAGAGAAAACGCGAGATACGATAATATCGTTTCACAGAACGTCGAGGTCAGAAGCCGTTGCATTTTGGTAAATGCAACGGAGTCTAACGAAATTCCATCGCGGTGCAGTTCTTCGAAATAAGTAAATAAATAAAGAATTAAATACAATAAATAAGTACGATTCTATTCTTAGCCTACCAGGCACACGTCTACGCTCGAACACAGAAAATCCATTGCGAATTTACATCTTTCATTCGAAACCGTAATTATCGTAATTGATTGCTCGATGAATGTTAGAACTGTTTAACCCTTTGCACTCCGTTGTCGCCTCTCTGGGGACATCGTAATTCCAGCGTATCACTCGGATGTCCCCTCTGAGGGGACATTAAATTGCCAAATTAATAACCATTAATATAATTTATTATATTGAAACGCTTTAAAATATTTATCACGCCGTAAAAAATTATAAGGAATAAAATGTTGATTTTTTTGCAAATATATGAGCCGTTTATTTTGAAAGTGGCATAAGTCACATTTTTTTTTTTTAATGAAAAGGTACCGTTCAATTGTAATTAGTGTTACCATTAATTCGATTTTTTTGAAAAAGTGACTTATGCCACTTTCGAAATAAACGACTTATACGTTCCTCGACGTCTACAAATTCGTATAAATCGAATATCACAATAATATCTTAATTTGGCTTCAAAGGTATACTATATGTATGATACAAAGGTTCGTAGCTGGGAGATAACGTTCGGGATGGCGCGGAGTACAAAGGGTTAAATTGAAAGTACCATCTAAGTCATCGCGCGATATTGAACTTTTTCGTACTGACAGAATCAGAATCTCACTAGGATATCAAAATTGTGAAACTAGAATGGCTAGAACTGCGAACGAACTAAGCGCCCACTTTAGATATCTCCAATATTCCTTTGCTATCTGTCTAAACCGTATTTGAAAAGGGTTTACGAAGCACGTAAAATAAAGAATAATAATAAACAATTGGTGCACAATTAAACAAGGAAGATACGTACGATTGAAGTCGTGATCGTTATACCGCGGTGGCGGTCCTCGGTCGCGATCTCGATCTCGATCGGATCCAGCCGATTCGGAAGGCGATCCGAACCGAGCTACGTCGAACTTCTCCCCGGCGTCCATCGCGAAAACCTTCTCCATCTCCTCGTCGAGTTCCGGTCCCGTTTCCGCGCCATGACCATCGACCTATTAGAAAGTAACGTTAAAATTTTCAAAATTGCGATCGAGTCCACGAAATTTCGTTTCATTTCATTTATTTATACAGGATGTCCCAAAAATGTCTCGCAATCCGGAAGTAGGAGATTCCTGAGGTCATTTGAAGCAACTTTTTCCTTAGCGAAAATGCAATCCGCGGCTTCGTTTACGAGTTATTAACGAAAAACAGTGACCAATCAGAGGCGAGATCATTTGGCGCGAGACGGCCGAGCCAATGAGCGGAACTGGGCTCTGCGCACTGGTTGGCTGGGCCGCCGCGCGCCAGCCGAGCTCGCCTCTTATTGGTCAGTGTTTTTCGTTGATAACTCGTAAACGAAGCCTCGGAGAAAATTTTCGCAAAGGAAAAAGTTGCTTCAAGTGACCTCAGGAACCTCCCATTTCCGGGACACGGAATAATAACAAAAAAAAAGAAGAATGGCGAGTAAATAGTTTACAAAGAGCTTGTTGTTAACCCTTTGCTGTACTTTGACGAGACCGACTCGTCATGAAAATTTCTAATAATAATTTATCGAGTATAGAATCCTTTAAAATTGAAATAAAATTCGAATCTCTTGTCATCGATGTTTAAGCATTCGAGTAAATTTAGGCACACACGATAGGCGTCAATTTTCTTTCCCCTGTAAGGAATGACTGCAATCGAAAAATTTCTATATAAAATATATATTTCTATAAAATTTAAGATTATCTATTATCTAATCGCAGTAACTGCGAAGAAAATGATATGTCGAGGGTTTAATGTATGCGCACTGAATCTCGACGAATAATGCGAGGCTCTAAAAAGCCGAGCTTACCTAGCAAAACCGTACGAAACATTCAAGTTTACAAGCGAAGTAACGCTAAGGATCGTTAATCGCACGGAAATGAAACGTGCGCTTGAGAATTTGAGAATGTTTTAAATTCAGCTTGTCGCGAAACCGAGCTCCAAAGAGCCACCCTGCTGCAGGAAAATTCTTGACCCGCCTCCAGGCAGAACGACAGCTTTTCACGGGGGGAAAAAATTCAATCAACTCGTCACCCGAGAAACTCCGCTACGAGGCGGCATCATAGTCGAGAACGAACGACAACGGCTCGCTTCGACGGCGAACTAATTCCATTTGCCAATAAAAATTCATAGGTCTCGCGATCGAACGATTGTTCCCACAATCATTTCTGACGGACATCTCGGAAGCAGTTATCGTTCCCACTCGATTGCACGAAAAAACTCAGAGAAATACGAAGAGCGAACAAAATTCCATTGTCGACTCGGAATCCGATTGTGAACTCCGCATGATACTGCTCTGAACCGTATTCCATGGACTTCTTTTCTAACTCGAGCAATCGAATCGAACCGTCTATTATATCGCACCCGCCTCTGACAACTTATGTATATTTTTCCTCTTTCATGTTTTCCTTCTCTCTCTTTTCATGTACCTTTTTTCCATTTCATCTTTTTCATTTTCATTGTTATCTTCGTTCAATTTAATTTGTGCCACTGTTGACACTATATGCCTACCGAGCTCTGGAAACGTGTATTGTTTTATAAGAATTGCAACAACGAGTTTAGTTTGACTTTCGTTTTTTATTTATTTACTTATTTACTTATTTATTTGCTTATTTATTTATTTACATATTTACTTATTTATTTATATATTTACTTATTTATTTACTTACTTACATATTTACTTATTTATTTACTTATTTATTTATTTAGATATTTACTTATTTATTTACTTACATATTTGCTTATTTATTTACTTACATATTTGCTTATTTATTTACTTACATATTTACTTATTTATTTATTTACATATTCACTTATTTATTTATATATTTACTTATTTATTTGCTTATTTGTTTACATATTTATTTACATATTTACTTATTTATTTAGTTACATATTCACTTATTTATTTATATATTTACTTATTTATTTGCTTATTTGTTTACATATTTATTTACATATTTACTTATTTATTTAGTTACATATTCACTTATTTATTTATATATTTACTTATTTATTTGCTTATTTGTTTACATATTTATTTACATATTTACTTATTTATTTAGTTACATATTCACTTATTTATTTATATATTTACTTATTTATTTATTTACTTACATATTTATTTATTTATTTACATATTTACTTATTTATTTATTTGCTCACATTCGTTTATTTACTTAATTATTTATTTATATAGAGATAAAAGAAACCTATTAGTTAAGGAGTACATATTACAGTGTGACAGACTAAACGTAAACAGAAATATTAAATATCTTATCACAGATGAAAGTTCGAATACAGGAATTAATTCAACTGTTCCTAAACGCGGATAATTTCAACAATTTGAAAATAAAAATACTAGATCGGTCATCTTTCGACCGGCATGGTAGGTTTAGCGTTAATACTAATAGATTTTATTATCCGTAAACACAATAAATGGTAATAATAACAACAATCCTGCGACGCTCCTGTAACGCTCCTGTGTCGTGTCGCCGGATTTCCGCCGAAAGAACGACCGCTAAGCAAAAAACCGAAATCAATCCCGACGAGCGGTTGTAAACAACGCCCGTTTCGTATCGCGTCGCATCGGCGAGCGATGAACGATCGCGCCAGTCGAATTCGATGCACGCGATTCCGCGCATTGCGTAGATATATTCCCGAGGCCGGGCTCGTCTCCGTTCGATCAGCTGCGGAGCGGGGCGCGAATTACGTCACGAGAACGAGCGGGAACAGGAGATCAACGTGTTCACGGAAGAATCATCGCACCTTCGAGATCATCCCTCGGCACGCGAACAGTTTCGCCAGATAATTTGACAAAAAAATCTTCGAGCAACCCCGTTGTGTCGATGAATTCTGATAATTTGCTTGTGGCCTTGGGTTCGAATAAATTTGTTTAAAAAATTCCAGACGGTCTCTAGTCCTACTGGTTAATCGAACTATTTAATCGGAGAAGATTTAGAGAAGAAATTCTTTGAAAAACGAGCGAACTTCGTTGACCGAGTAAACCAATAGCGGTCGGTGCAGTATTTCCTGTTCGTCCAATCCTGGTAGGGCGAACAATAAGTTTGTTTAAAAAATTCCAGACGGCCTCTAGTCCTACTGGTTAATCGAACGATTTAATCGGGGAAGATTTAGAGAAGAAATTCTTTGAAAAACGAGCGAAATTCGTTGACCGAGTAAACCGATAGCAGTCGGTGCAGCATTTCTTGTTCGTCCAATCCTGGTAGGACGAACAATAAGTTTGTTTAAAAAATTCCAGACGGCCTCTAGTCTTACTGGTTAATCGAACGATTTAATCGGGGAAGATTTAGAGAAGAAATTCTTTGAAAAACGAGCGAAATTCGTTGACCGAGTAAACCGATAGCGGTCGGTGCAGCATTTCTTGTTCGTCCAATCCTGGTAGGACGAACAATAAGTTTGTTTAAAAAATTCCAGACGGCCTCTAGTCTTACTGGTTAATCGAACGATTTAATCGGGGAAGATTTAGAGAAGAAATTCTTTGAAAAACGAGCGAAATTCGTTGACCGAGTAAACCGATAGCGGTCGGTGCAGCATTTCTTGTTCGTCCAATCCTGGTAGGACGAACAATAAGTTTGTTTAAAAAATTCCAGACGGCCTCTAGTCTTACTGGTTAATCGAACGATTTAATCGGGGAAGATTTAGAGAAGAAATTCTTTGAAAAACGAGCGAAATTCGTTGACCGAGTAAACCGATAGCGGTCGGTGCAGCACTTCTTGTTCGTCCAATCCTGGTAGGACGAACAATAAATTTGTTTAAAAAATTCCAGACGGCCTCTAGTCCTACTGGTTAATCGAACGATCTAATCGGGGAAGATTTAGAGAAGAAATTCTTTGAAAAACGAACGAAATTCGTTGACCGAGTAAACCGATAGCAGTCGGCGCAGTATTTCCTGTTCGTCCAACCCTGGTAGGACTTCCGCGTCCTACTTATTTTCTACGGAACGGCGCAGCTGAAAGCTCGAGAGCTATTTTATGGGTGTTGTCTAAACCGAAACAACATCGAGGACGAAGTCGTAGGAACCGAGTTATTTCTCGATATTCCGTTCGAGCTGCAACAGCGAGTGTAGACACATCGAACGTCTACGAAGTCGAAGTGCTCGTTTCAATATCTTTAAGAGCTTTTGCTCTAGAAAATGTTGAAGCTGTCCGTCTATCTTCTAATTGTTCCTCGGATCGCGATTCGCCGTCGAATCCAAACAACAACATTTCGAACAGAATTTAACCAGTTAGCTTCGACGAGTATACTCGTCATGGAGGAGTGGCAGTATTTTGTGCCACGACGAGTATACTCGTCGTACGTAAAAAGTAGCGAAAAAATAATATTAATATATTATAAACCCTTTGCACTCGAAGCCATTTTAACAGTCAATCTAAAATAATTCTTCTGGCTTACAGTATTTCCATTTTATACGACAAAGTGCATTTTATGCATACGAAATTGCGTCTCGTGATTCATGCAACAGTTATACTTTTAATAATATTTAAAATCTAAACTTCGATAATATAAAAATGATCTTAGAACGTGACACAATAATTTTACCGGTGCCTCGGAGTCACCACTCGAGTACAAAAGGTTAAAATTTATTGAAATTATTATTCAAAAATGAGAGTAGAAAAGGAATTACGATATTGGTGTTCGACATGCAAAGTGCCATTACGCGCCTTTCCTTGCTCTATTAAATTTTCTTTCTACAGCAGTGATTTGAATTTTTAACTTTTCTAAGCATTTAATTTTTCCTACGTTTTTCGTTTATTATGTATGCGGTATATGTTAATGTTGAGCGAATAAATAAATGTTATAAAATTGTCAATTTTATAACATTTATTTAACGTTTATATAACGTTTATTTTATAACATTTTTATAACTAACCCTCTACACTCGAAGCTATTTTAACTGTAAATCTATATTAATTTTTCTGACTCACGATATTTCCATTTTATGTGACAAAGTGCAACACATACAACA